TGCTTCACGTAGGGTTCATCTGCTCCTTCAGGAAATGTCCCATTATCGGTAACAGTCACATCAGTGGTAGTAACTTCATTAACGGCTTCACTCTTTTCCTTCTCAAACCGAATAAAGTTTCTTCTTCGACAGCGGCTTTTTCAGGTGACACGTCTTCAGCAGCGTCATTTGTTCCATTGTTCATTTCGTTCCAACTGAAATGTCCTGGACCGTGATAACGCCAAAGCCTGTGGGCATGCACCACCTTTGGTTTACCTTGCCGACCACATTTTATTCGGAAAGTCACGTCTGAGAGATGATCCACTATGTCTTATGGGGCTTCCCATGGAGAAGACAACTTAGGAGACTTTCCTTTGGTCTTCCTGGGTTTATACAACTACATCTTGTCTCCTGGTACAAAGCTGACTTCAGTAGAGCTCTTATCATAACATAACTTCATGGAATCAGCAGACGTTTTCAATTTTGAACGCACTTGATGATGAATATCATCCATCCTTTTAGATAACACTTTCACGAACTCTGACTCTTTACTATAGCAAGGATTTCTCTCCGTGTTACACAGCAGTTCCTCTCTGGTCTACTCAGGACCCTACTGAAGCAGACCACCACATGTTCGTTTTCGCCTACTTTCTGAGACAACACTCCTCCAATTCCGACATTACTAGCATCACAATCCAGTGTCTACGGCAGTGAGGGAGTTGGAAGCTTTAAAAGTGGAGCTGAGGCCAATTTTTCTTTCAATGTCTTGAGAGCATGCTGGCAATAAACTGTCCATTCGAAATTCTGGCCTTTTTTGTGGTCAAATCATGGCATCATAACTGTAAGTACAGAGTTGAAAACCACCTGGCTCCACTTAGGGTATCAAGAGTATCGTCACTTCTTTGCAGTGGGTATGAGTCCTTTTCGGTTATACTGTTAAGAGCCCTGAAGTCCACACAGCAACATTGGGTCCCATCTTTCTTCTGGACTAACACGACTGGAGCTGACCAGAGGCTATCTGATTCCTCGACTATCCCTTCCTTAATTAGGCCATCCATGACCTTCTCCATCTCTTGCCACTTTGCCGGGGCTATTCTCCTTGAAGGAATCTTTATTGGATGGTGATTACCTGTGTTTAATCTGTGCTCCACGAAGTCTGTGCAGCCGAGGTCATGATCTCCCTTTGAAAAGACGTCTGCATAATTCACCAAATTTTCCCTAACCAGAAGATCCTGTGATGATGACAAATAGACTATACTCTTCTAATAAAGGTCAGTTAAGTGTTCTGGGAGAGGATGTCCTTTCTTTATGGTCGTATTTCTGGCCTTAACATTGACTGGCTCTACCTCCTGGCACACACCCAACAATGTTCCTTCCTTAAGAGAAATTGGCCACTGTTATGGGTACTACTTGATGACCTGCAACAAGTGACCTTCCAATCTTCACATCCGCTGGCCTAGATGGGTCTTCCACAAGTATCGGGCTTCCTTGGGGATGTTCTTTTATTCTACCCCAAATTATTTTCTCTGACATAGGAAGTATTGTAGTTGACTTAAGTGCTGTGACACGAAAATCAACAGATCCAGCAACACTTACTGGAATTTGGCCTTTGTTGTTCCCAATCATCATTTTATCGAAGTTAACTACACACTTCTAGCACCTTGATACTCAC